TTTTTTTGCTCCAATACGTTTGCATAGCTAGCTGCCGGCAACGTGAGTGAAAACGCTCTATAGAAATTAAGACTACTCTGGGAACAATTTTTGAAGCTGTTTAAAGACTCTCAGAAAGTGTTTACTTTTTATTGCAATCCGTGCGCGAAATTTCAACATAGAACGCTACTGCTTGTGTTTAACACATAACGTTAATTTTTTTTATATGTTTATATTTTTTAGATCTTCAACGGCAATGACGACAGATCATCGATTGTTAAAAACGACCTTTATCACGCAACTCTGGCAAAATTCATTCGCGTCTACCCTTTGTTGTATAAAACTCATAAGGCATTAAGAGTTGAAGTTTACGGCTACGCTAGAGGTAGGATGTGACTTAAGTTAGGGCTTGTTTACATGGAGATGGTGGAACCCAGATAGGTGGCGTAACTGTGGCGGGTCTCCCCACCTAACATGTAAAAGTGATCAAATTAAAATGAGAGATTATATGGACAGGCGGGTTACCCCACCTAAGCGGGTTACCTTACCTACCTGGGGTCCCCCACCTCCATGTAAACAGGCCCTTGGATCACATACATCTCCCCATGTAAGGGAATCCAAGACATTCTTGGATCAGTCTGGATCCCACGCTTTTTTTTGGATTCCTAGCCTGCGTCACAGACGTGATTTAACCTTGATAAATAAAGTCTGCGCAGCAGCGCCGAGATCCTTGTTCTGGGTCCCCAACGTATTCAACGAATTACCGGAAGTGGGCGCGTTTCGAATTTCCTTTCATCCTGACTGGCAAATCGATAGTGGCTTCTTTCAACACGAAGGCGCGCTATAAATCAATCACGGCGCGTGCTCAAACCCTGGTACACAGGTAAGGGCCCAGAACAAGGATTTCGGCGCTGTTTCGAAGACGGACTAAACCAGAGTTCAGTTTCGTCTGTAGCGCAGGCTGCGGATTCCCTGAGCTGTATTTCGGATTCCAAAGCCCAGGATTTACATTTTCACAATCAAACACTTCCCGGATTCAGTTTCAAAAACAGGTCGTAACCCACACTCCATATAAGCGGGTTAGACGATGTGTGATAATATACAAAGTTATTGTTCTAAATTATTTACTCTGAAAAGGTGCACCTGCCGCTGCCACTTTTGGAAAATATTTCATTGATTTTCCCAACGTTTTGTTAAGAGCTGCTTTCGGTTTGAAGTATAACTGTACCTTGGAGATCAGTTCTTATAAAAAACGATGCAGAAAAAAATCCACTAGACTCTTTAAAAGTGTTCTTGTTGCGGGTTATGCCGAGGTATCGACAACCCGCAGACATCGAAAGCAATTAATTATCAAAAGGTTTTTTTTTGAAGGATCATACTTAACTGAATGTCCCTCTGGATTTGACGCTGACTGCGTTCCACATGACCCACTTAATCCAAATTGTAATGGTAAGAAGTAAACAAACTGTGTTTAATATATAAGAAAATAAATAGCTTGCTTTCATAGCTATAGAGACATTTACGAGCTAGTGTTCCCTTTGTAAGACTTTCGTCAGAGGAACCATGTTTCCGCAGGGCGGAAACGTGACAGATATAAGCAACTCTATGTTTCTATCGAGTTTACAAAAATACGGGAACACGTTATTTCGTGCTGTGCCGTGTCAAATGCTTTCGACAATCAAAATATAAGTCCGTTGTATACTCATAGGTTTTCAATAGGGTCAGTTAACTCATTTTATTTATAATCTGAATCATTTCTATGGAACTCACTTTGTTCCTTGCCAGAGTCTATGTTTAACAATATACTATGAGCTTAAATGGAAGGATTGTAAGTTTTCTGTGCTTTACATACTGAAATAGACCTTCTAAATGTCCTTAGTTTTTTCCTGGTTTATTATGCCATTTGAAAATACTTGTTTGGCGCGAATTTCACCAGTGGAAAATTCCCCCGGCGACGTGATGAACCAATAGGAGAATGAGTTCCTGACACAGCGTATGTCAATCATTTTCTCCTCGTGAATTTGTAATGTGATTCAAAACCATTCAGGAAAGTCGACTTCGTGATATCGTCGCTCGTTCGGTCGCTGGGCGACCTCGTTGAAGCTCGCTTTGCTCACTTTTAAGAACTTATGCTTGGTCGACTTATGGCAAGATAATACTGTACATATCAAATGGTACAGCTACGCCATTTGCTAGAACATGTTTTTTTCTTTTTTTTATTTAATTTATTATTTGAGCTAAATTTACATCACACAAAACGTATACATATTACAACTTGACGAAACAAACATAAAAATAGCTGAGGTTACATTTATGCTTGAATTCGCTTAGCTACTTACAATAAAAGGAAAGGACGGTGAACGGTGGACGGTGGATGGCTCAACTTTGCAGGACACATGGCTAAGTCAAAGCGATTAGCTAGAGAGTAACCAGTGCAAGCAACAAATTTAAATAAGAAAAAATTTCCATTTGTTTGAAAAGACGGTGAAATAATTACAGCGGAGTGCTTCTTGTTTTTCCATCTCCATGACGGAATTTAGTTTGCCCTTAAAAAGAGTCATGGAGGGAGACGTACCTGCAAGTTTGCTCGAGTATATCTGATATCTCCCAATAAGAAGAACGAGATCAATGTCGGTAGAGGGTGCAAATTTAGAGAGTCCCGTCAGATGTAAATCGGTTAGTGCAGTACTCTTGAGGCCCTTTTGAATTAAAAATTGTTTAACATCGTTCCAAAAAGCAATTGTTGCCGAACATCTCAGAAATAGATGAGATATAGACGCATTTGTCCGATTGCTTTAAATAAATTTTCTTTAAAAAATCATTGGTAGCAATCCTCCGATGCAAAAACTTATAATGAAAAGTTCTTAATTTTGTAGAAGCCGTACAGTGGAAAGCGATT